CCCTCCCCCACCATCACGCCACTCAAATCCAATATGGCTTCCAAGCTAAGTCTACAGTGGCTAAACCCCCACCCGCCTCCCTCCCCTGCATTAATAAATTAAAATATGGCTTCCAGTGTGACTGTCCAAACGTTTCCCCGCATCCCACCCCAGTCCCGCTGCTACGTATGGGAAAGGTTTCCCTGTAGCCTGGTTTTAAAACACCTGTTCTTCGTGGCTGGGTCCGTTCCCCGTTAGCCTCAGTGCAAAGCAGTGGGTGGTTATTACGCTTGCATACATTTTGAAATGTTCTAACATATGCAGATGGATGGCGGCAGGGATTCGGCAGGACGAGGAGCCCAATCCAGGCCTTGAGTCCATTTCCCCCTCACTTCCTGTCCCTGATCCCTGCCTGCCTGCGCTGCACTCCCAGGACCTTCGCTCCCCCACACATCCCCAATCCTGCCCCCTACGGCCTATCCTTCAGTCCATCATGGCCTCCAGCATCTCCAGGAAAAGCTTATGCATGGGAACTTTGCCCTCCAGCTTGAGGCTGTAGAAATGGTTGAGGACGCGGGTGGCCGTCTGGCGTAGCAGGGGCAGGGTGAGGAGGAGGCGTCCGGCGCGGCGGGGTTCCTCAGGACGCCGCGACACTTCGTATTCCAGCAACGCCTCGTGCAGCACGTCCCGGAGCCTTTGGACGGCAGACATGTCTTCGATATGGACAGAGTCTGGAGGAAAGGGGGGGGGATTTGGGTTGAGAGAGAGACAGGCCACCGTTGGTGCTGGCTACTTTGGAGCACCATCATGCGGCCCAGGGGCTTGTAGATCAGTGCCGCAAAGCAGAAAGTAGCATCCAATAATCTGAGGTGCCTAAAGATCTTTCCCCTCCACCATTAAATCGCTTCAATGAAAGAACTCCCAAATTAAAAAAAAACCCTAGATTTGAATTCAGTAGCACCTTAGAGACCAACAAACTTTTTGGGGCATAAGCTTCTGAGAGTCAAAGCTCCCTTCGTCAGATACGACAAAGGGAGCTTTGAGTCTTGAAAGCTTGTACTCCACATATCTTGGTGGTGGTGGTGGAGGAGGAGGTTGGATTTATACCCCTTCCCCAAAGGAGTCTCAGAGTGGTTTACAATCTCCTTCCCCTCCCCACAACAGACACCCTGTGAGGTAGGTGGGGCTGAGAGAGCTCTCCCGAGAACTGCCCTTGAGAGAACAGCTCTGAAAGAACTTGTGACTGACTCAAGGTTACACCAGCAGCTGCATGTGGAGGAGTGGGAAATCAAATCTGGTTCTTTCAGATTAGCAGCCAAGCTCCTAAACACAACACCAAACTGGCTACTGGACTCAAAGGAGCTACTGGACTCAAATCCAGCTTTTATACTTCAGACCAAACTAGTTATCCTCTGAAATAAAAACAACGATTTGCTTTGAAGCCAGTTAAAAGGGATGCCCTCTGATTTGTTTTCAAGCCAGGAAAATAATACGCCAACACATGCTGATGTTAGCGTATTATGATGCTAGAGGAAAATATATACATCCTGCTCCTGTCTCCTTCACTGGTCAGTACACCCAATGGAAGAAACTGAAAGAGGAGGCAATTGTAAGCCACTTTGAGACTCCTTAAAGTAGAGAAAAACAGAGTATAAAAATCTACTCTTCTTCTTCTAAAACAGCATCTCAGCACTTATCTTCCATCCCAGAAACTTTTCACTGATTCTCAGGAATGCTGGAAGTTGGGAACAGGTTTACACCTCACTGAGCAGTTGGGTAGAATCCAGTTGGCCCATTTTGCCATCTCTCTTGGGAAGGATTAGCAATTATCTCTCCGAGAGAACTGGCCCCTGCAGTCCTAAGTGACATCTT